GTTATTGAGTTAATAAACCCACTTTTTTGCTTTCTTGAGTATGGCAGCTCCAAAATGCAGGTGTTTCAGCCTAGCTCAGTGCTTTCTGTGGTGGTGGGGCAGCCAGCGGAAAATACGGAGCATAGGTTTTGGTAATGTTCTCTAGTTGCGCTGTGATTGGCTCAGTGTTCTGTCACTCATGGGGACACTACGTCACCGCCAAGTCTAAGGGTAGGGCTCGAAAATTCAAGCCCCTTGGGTGCTGCCATGGAGTTACAATAGAAGTGCCCATCCAAGAAGGCTCAAGGTCTTTGGCCACAGATAATATGACGTCATATCACGTTATATCTACAGTAGCTTTGATTGGACTGATCCTGTCAACATCATACTTTCAAAATCTTAGCTAGCACTCATCATAATGAATCAAGTCGACAATCTACTGGCAAATCCTTTTTAATCCTTTTCATATGAAGAGAAATAATGAAGAGAAATTATAGATAAAACATTACACAACAAGTTGGAAATCGCAAATTCAACAACGAGTGGTTTGGAAGGAATCAGTCGCTAACTGCAAGCATTGCAAAGCAATAACTAGCCTGCTATTCAGTGGAGTGGCAGTGTGGTCCCAAGTCTGGGATTAAAGGTCTCTTTTCCAAACTTAAAATGATAAATATTCAACATTGGCCATGTGCTGCGCTCAAAACAACTGTTAACTTGGAACTGCGAAATCTGACTTCAGTGAGTTCAAGACAACTGGGAACTAGGGAAAAACAATCTCCGTCTGGGAAAATACTTTTTGAATGGTCATCCAACTCGGAATTGTAAATCCGGAACTCGGGCCTCTTTCTAGAGCTACGACCTGATGATCACTGACGTCATCATGATTCAACCGTGTTTTTTTCCGAGTTCCCAGTTGTCTTGAAAGTACCATAAATCCAGAGAATGCCAGACTTTGATGACAAAGTTTGATGACAAAATTTGCCCATGATGGACCGTCGTGCCACCTTCCTGTTCAAGTGAGCACAGCACAACAAGGTGAGTCCAAAAATGTATTGTATGCTGCTGCATAAATGATGTAATATGCCAGGGAGATATGTGTACTGTAGCTAAGAAAGTAATACTACGTGTATGTTGTGTAGTAAACTGTAGCCCATGTGCCTCACCCTAATAATTTGGTCTATTTTACCCTCTTAATTTTGCCTACTGTTCTGACTTGGTGGTGCACATGTAGCCTATAACGTGTTTTAGAGAAATGTAATCATTGAATATTGTAAGAACTTTCATTGTCTGCTTATATACCCCCTTTATTTATCCTATTCTGTCGCTGTACATTCTGTCATTTTTTTTTTCTGACTTGGTTTACAGAAAGATATATATAGAGGCGAAAGAAACGCACACCTATTTAGGCGAGGTGCTGGCTAACGGAGTAGAACACTTGAAAAAGAAAAGGAAAGCCACACACTCAGATGCAATAATTTAATATCCTAATAACCAACGTTTCGACAGACAAGCTGTCTTCATCAGGGTATAATGACAAACACTGCGGGTCACTAGTTTATATAGTGTCAAAGGACACACGCAGGTGTCTGTAATCATGGCTGGGTGTGGCCTAATAGCATTGGTTAATTCACAGATAAACAGAACATACAAAAAACATGGATAGCATACGATCATAGATACAACTTGGCTACATAGGCCCACAAACATTTACAATGAATAGCAAAATCACAAGAATCACAAGAATGGCTTCAAATCAAAGTCCACGTTGAGACCGAAGGGAGCAAGGGTCTTTAAATTAAAGATCCAGGTAGCCTCTCGTTTTAACAATAAGTTGTCGAGGTCACCCCCTCTCCTAGGGAGGGTGACATGTTCGATGCCGATATAACGTAGGGACAAAATCGAGTGGTTTGCTTCCAAAAATTGGACAGTGACTGGGTATGTCGAGTTTTTGCACCTAATGGTGCTACGATGCTCCGAGATTCATACTTCTAATTCGCGCTTTGTTTTACCCACATAATGTTTACCAAAAGGACAAGTTATAAGATAAATAACTGCCTTCGTGGAGCATGTAATTGATTTGGATCTGTTTCCCTGTTTGGGGGTGTTTAAAGGATTTACATTTGTAAGTGCCATTGCATTGAGCGCAGCCGTTACACTTGTAGATTCCATCCGGTAGAGGCGCAAATAGACGTTGTGTAGGGATATTTAGGGGTGGTAAATCCGAGTTTACCAATTGATCTCTGAGGTTTCTGCCCCGCGAGAATACAACCAATGGAGGGTCCGAAAACACATTACCAATACTTTCATCGGATCTTAGAATGTGCCAATGTTTGTGAACGATTCCCTTAATTTGTTCAGAGCACTTTGAATAGCGTGTAGTTAGAACGCAATAATGCTTCTTTTTGCGAGACTGTCCCTGAAAGAGGTCAAGTTTCGATTTGTTTTGGAATTTTCTCAATGGCAGTATTAATCTGACCATTTTTGTACCCCCTCTCCTTGAATTTTCTTTGCGTCATAGACATATTTCGGTCGAAATCTGATTGTTTTTTACAAATTATTTTGATTCGACAGAATTGGCTGTAGGGCAAACTGTTTTTCAAGGGAAGCGGGTGACAGCTATCAGCGCTCAACAAACTGTTACGATCAGTAGGTTTCCTGTAAAGATCAGTGGTTTACAGGCAGAACACTGTGAGAACGGGCCATGTTCTGAATTCTGTCGCTGTACATTTCAAAAGTGCTGAACAAATAGTTATATTGACTACGTTCGTCCTAGCTCGCTCATCAATGTCTTAATCGAAATTACGGATTGCCTCTTATCCGCTTGAAATCCCATTATGCCATAGTTTGTACATCTCAATTGCCAGTACAAACCACATTTGTTTAAGCAAGTCAGCCATATCAGCTATCTTTTTTTAAAGGCAGTAAATGAGGCTGAATGAACTGTTTCGCTGCCACACAAGGCTCCGCTGATACCCAGGTGTATCAGTGGTAAGGTGTTGGTACTGCTGTTGGGACTCTGCTGTTGGGACAGCTTTATGTAGGGCCCTAACAGTTTGTGGGCAACATTTGTCACCGTTATAGTGCAATTAATGTATTGGTTAGTGTTGTGTTGTGTAGAGGCTTTGCTGGCATGCATCCCACTTTTAAAAATTTTTTTCACAAAGATTTACATGCTAAAATCGCCACTGGACAATACACACATCACGGCAAGAGAGACACCACAAATCTACATAAAGAGAGACCTAAGATAACAACACAGCATGGCAGCAACACATGACAACACAGCATGGTAGCAAAACAACATGACAACAACACCGTAGTGACACAACATGGTAGCAGCACAACTTGGTAGCAGCACAAACATGGTACAAATATTGTTGGGCACAGACAAGAGCAAAGTGCAAAAAGGTAGAGACAACAATGCATCACGCGAAGCAGCCACAAGTGTCAGTAAGGGTGTCCATGTTTGAGTCTTTGAATGAAGAGATGGAGATAAAACTGTCCAGTTTGAGTGTTTTTTGCAGCTCGTTCCAGTAGCTAGCTGCAGCGAACTGAAAAGAGGAGTGACCCAGGGATGTGTGTGCTTTGGGGACCTTTAACAGAATGTGACTGGCAGAACGGGTGTTGTATATGGAGGATGAGGGTTGCACTAGGTATCTCATTTAAGGGGAGGAAGGCCAAAGAGGGTTTTATAAATAAGCATCCACTAGTGGGTCTTGCGTCAGGTATACAGAGATGGCCAGTTTACAGAGCAGTGTTGTGTCCTATAAGGAGCATTGGTGGTAAATCTGATGGCCGAATGGTAGAGAACATCTAGCCGCATCTAGCCGCTCTAGCATGGGTAGGATGGTCATCTGAATCAGAGTTAGTTTGGCAGCTGGGGTGAAAGAGGAGTGATTACGGTAGAGGAAAATAAGTCTAGATTTAGCCTTAGCCTGTGCTGAGAGAAGGACAGTGTACTATCTAGCCATACTCCCAAGTATTTGTATGACGTGACTACCTCAAGCTCTAAACCCTCAGAGGTAGTAATCACAATGGTGGGAGAGGGGCATTCTTCTTACCGAACCACATGACCTTTGTTTTGGAGGTGTTCAGAACAAGGTTAAGGGCAGAGAAAGCTTGTTGGACACTAAAAACGTTTTGTTGTAGAGCGTTTGACACAAAATCAGGGGAGGAGCCAGCTGAGTATAAGACTGTATCATCTGTATATAAATGGATGAGAGAACTTCCTACTGCATGAGCTATGTTGTTGATGTAAATTGAGAAGAGCGTGGGGCCTAGGATCGAGCCTTGGGGTACTCCCTTGGTGACAGGGAGTGGCTGAGACAGCAGATGTTCTGACTTTATACACTGCACTCTTTGAGAGAGGTAGTTAGCAAACCAGGCCAAAGATCTGTCAGAGACACCAATACTCCTTAGCCGACCCACAAGAATGGAATAGTCTACCGTATTAAAAGCTTTGGCCAAGTCAATAAAAATAGCAGCACAACATTGCTCAGAATCAAGGGTTGCAGTGAAACATCCATAACCTGAGCGGAAACCAGATTGCATACCAGAGAGAATACTATGGACATCAAGAAAGCCAGTCAGTTGATTATTGACAAGTTTTTCCAATACTTTTGATAAACAGGACAAGATAGAAATAGGTCTATAACAGTTAGGATCAGCTTGATCTCCCCCTTTATATAAAGGACGCACCACGGCTGCCTTCCAAGCACTGGGAACCTCCCCAGAGAGGAGAGACAGGTTAAAAAGGTCAGAGATAGGCTCGGTGATGATAGGGGCTGCAACCTTAAAGAAGAAAGCATCTAAACCATCTGACCCAGAGGATTTTTGGGGGTCAAGTTTAAGGAGCTCCTTTAGCACCTCAGACTCAGTGACCGCCTGCAGGGAGAAACTGTGTAGCGGGCAGGAGAAAAAGACGGAGGAGCATTTGGGCTAGTTGCATTAGAAGGACTGGGAGATTAGATAATGTTGGACTGGCAAGGAGGCATAGCTGAGTCAAATAGAAATCCTGACTTAATGAAGTGGTGATTACAGAGCTCAGCCATACGCTCCTTGTCAGTAACAATCACATCATCAACATTAAAGGACATGTGCAGCTGTGAGGAGGAGGGTTTATTCTACAGGTCTTTCACCGTTTTCCAGAACTTCTTGGGGTTAGACCCACAGAGAGAGAGCTGCTCCTTAAAGAAACTCACTTTGGCCTTCCGGTTAGCCTGAGTGCACTTATTTCTCATTTGCCTGAACGACAGCCAGTCAGCCTGAGTATTTGTGTGCTGAGCCTTTTGCCAAATGGTGTTCTTGGGGTGGAGTAACTCTGCCAGATAACAGTAGAACCAGGGGCTGAACCTGTTTATAATTCTCATTTTCTTTATGGGGGCGTGCTTGTTAACCATTCCACTGAAAATATCAATCAAGAAGGTCCAAACGTCTTCCAATTTCATGAAGGAAGGCTTGCTCATTAAAGTTTTTAAGCAAGCGTCTATGACAAATCAGGACAGGTTGTTTAACTGAGCAGCCATTACGAACACAGACTGTAAAACAGTGATCACTAAGGTCATTACAGAACACACCAGACAGATACCAATCAGGATTATTTGTGAGGATAACATGAAGGAGAGTAGCCTTTTCTGTGTGTTTGGAGTCATACCTTGTGGGATTGGTAATATTCTGAGAGAGATTTAGGGAGTCCCATCGTGTTAAGACTTGGTCAGGTGGTTTAAAACCCTCCCGTTGTCCTAGGGTCAAAATGACCCGCCACTGTGTTGAACCAACTTTATTTAATTTTTATATTTTTGGGATCATTTGTGAGAAGGAGGCAGTGAGACTTTATATAAAGTATAACTGCCTCCTTCTCACACATGATCCAAAATAAAGTTGGTTCAACACAGTGGCGGGTCATTTTGACCCTAGGACAACGGGAGGGTTAAGCATGTCCCAGTTTAGGTCAATTAGCAGGACAAATTCAGATTTAGTGTAAGGGGCCAGGAGAGAGCTTAGGGCAGGTAGGGTACAGGCCGGTGCTGATGGTGGATGATAACACCTAGCAACAGTCAACAAAGAGCTATTTGAAAGCTTAATGCTTAAAACCAGCCAATCAAATTGTTTGGGGACAGACTTGGTGGAGACAACTGAGCACTGAAGGTGTTCCTTGGTAAAGATTGCCACTCCACAGCCTTTGGAAGATCTGTCTTGCCGAAAAAGGTTATAACCAGAAAGGTTAACATCAGTTTTCAGAACACTCTTTCTTAACCATGTCTCAGTATTGACCAACACATCCGGATTGGAGCTGTGAATAAGCTTCTAGTGTTAACATGCAGAAAACCCAGGCTCTTACGTGAAGCAGAAATCAGAGCACAAGTCAGAATTGGGGCTAGCAACAGTAGACAGGCCAGGGTGTACATGCACATTTCCACATATCATACATTTCAATTATCAATTTAATCAAGAAACATGAATACAAAGCCGGCGTGAGGTGGTTAGAATAGTAATACTAATTGTTGTCAAAGTAGGCTACTATTTTTTACATTTTGTGTCAGGCCTGGTCTGTACTAAATCTTATTGAGAGATTTTGAAATAGTCTCTGAATAGTTTTTTGCATTTTTACATTGTTACAGAAGTAAGAATTATTGTCAATCAAATAGCCTACTTTTGAAATACTTTCTGAATATTGTCCTCTGGTCACATTTTGGATAATTCTTAAAATATATATTTATAAGAATAATATATTATACTTGGTACATTTTGAGTGAGTAATTTTGTCAAATCTATTACAATTTAAATACTCTAGGGTTTTTGTTGTGTTGAGTGTTAATCGTTTTTTTATATTATCTTGACAAAATGAGTGTTATTCCTGTTGACATGAATGTGGTGTCATATTAACTGTCACGCCCTGGCTCTGGGGACTCTGAAATGTTGAGCCAGGGTGTGGAGTTTCTATGTCTTATTTTCTATGTTGTGTTTTCTAGATCGTGTAGATCTATGTTGGCCAGGGTGGTTCCCAATCAGAGGCAGCTGTATCTCGTTGTCTCTGATTGGGGACCATACTTAGGCAGCCTGTTTGGCACTAGTCGGTGTGGGATCTTGTTCCGTTAAGGTTTGTTTTGGTAACCTAGGACTTCACGTATCGTTTGTTTGTTGTTTTGGTTCGTGTGTTAAGTACTAATAAATATGTACGCTTATCACGCTGCGCCTTGGTTCCACGAATCTTTAAACAATCGTGACATTAACGAAGAGGTTGTGCTCTTTAAAACTAATCTAACTTGTAATTGTCATTTGTTTTTTTATGTTTTTGAGCTATGTCTGTTTGTTTGAAATGTGTGAGAAAATGAGCTTCATCTTGAACATTCTCAGTAATCTTCAGCAGCATTCTAGAATTATATTGGGGTCTAAAGGGTTTTAAGAAGATAATTAACTGGACTTTAATTGACCCCTTCCGCTATAATCTAAAAACATAACCTAGGCCTAAATAGTTTCAAGTTTTAATAGTTGTATGTATGAGATTTGCATGGCATACATCATCCAACTAAATGCTTATTTGCGGTTTCCTTCTCGACAATGCAACAACAATAAGATAAGAATATGAACATAAAGGAAATGGCTCAGTAGAATAGAATAAACATTTTAGCATATACAGTATAAAACATGAAGGCAAAATGTATAGTCCAATATTTTCACGTGTATTGGGGACTGAGCAGTGTAAGAAGAGGCTGGTAGCAGCAGTTGTGATGTATAGCCTGAATGTACATAATGTAATAGACTCCGGCATATCGTTGCTGTTGTTGGGGAGCGTATGGGCCATTGAGTTGTTTGTGTGAGTGTGGACATAGCTACCAGCACGCCTTTCCGGTTAGCGTCCAACTGGCCCTCTCCCAGCCCAGAGAAATGTATGAATGAATACATATCTTATTGAGTGGAACACAACAAAGTGTCCCACGCTTGCTTGGCGTTCCAGAGTATAAACAGTTGGTCTTTCAATTATTAAACCTTCTGGCCATTGTGACTAGAGGGGTATACTATAAAACAGTATCAATGAGCCAGCTAACTTTGATAAACAACCAGAAATAACCTGTGATTTTCTGATTGATGAAGAAAAATTAAACATATACTGTGTATGGGTTTTTGGTTGTTGAAAGGAAAAACCAAAAACCCGCAGACACTCGGCCCTCCGTGGAATGAGTTTGACATGCCTGCTGTAGATAGTCTACACACCCTTTCAAAATGTTTACCTTTTGTGAATGGGCGGAGCTTATAGATCCTTATGCGAAACTTGCCCACTTGCCTTAGAGCTGATTACATAAAAAAACATGTAACTGTATAAATTTTTGTCAGGCAGGACCATACAGCACTGAATGAGAGCAAATTTGACATGGAAAGTTGTCTATTGAACAGCTACCAAAAAGTGAAGTTTACCTTCATCATAAATATTAATAGTTGATATTTCTGACTACTGTACCTGTGTGTTTACAGGTCTATATTTCCAACATGCTTTAAGATATCCTAATGTTGTGTATGTAGGGCAGACAATTGACTACTTGTATTCCAAATTTGAGCAATATCAGAGTTTGCAATATTGGGTTACATGACCTTATGTGGCCCACCCCCCCTCCAGCCACCCATTATTCTGCACAACCATCCTGTCACGATCGCTGACATATGAAGCGGACCAAGGCGCAGCGTGATAAGCGTACATTCTTTATTCAGTACTTACACGAACAAAACAATAAACAAACGATACGTGAAGTCCTAGGTTACAACACAAACCTTACGGAACAAGATCCCACAACCTAACATGCCACAAGGCTGCCTAAGTATGGTCCCCAATCAGAGACAACGAGCTACAGCTGCCTCTGATTGGGAACCACCCTGGCCAACATAGATCAAAACGAACTAGAACCAAAAACATAGAAAACAAAACATGAAAATCCACACCCTGGCTCAACATTTAAGAGTCCCCAGAGCCAGGGCGTGACAGTACCCCCCCCAAAGGCGCGGACTGCGACCGCGCCAACCAAACACAAGAGGGTAGGGGCCGGGTGGGCATTCCGCCTCGGAGGCGGATCCGGCTCCGGGCGTGACCACCACTCTCTCTCCACCCCCCCGTAGCGCCCCTGATCTGGTCCCGCTGGCCGGAGCTGGACTGGACACCGGTGGAGTGGATTGCTCTGGCTCCAGAGTGGAGCAGCTGCACGGGCCGTGCCGGACTGACGACGCGCACCACAGGCTTGGTGCGGGGAGCAGGAACAGGCCGGACCGGGCTGACGACGCGCACCACAGGCTTGGTGCGAGGGACAGGAACAGGCCAGACCGGGCTGGCGACGCGCACCACAGGCTTGGTGCGAGGGACAGGAACAGGCCGGACCGGGCTGGCGACGCGCACCACTGGTTTGGTGCGGGGAGCAGGAACTGGCCGGACCGGGATGACGACGCGCACCACAGGCTTGGTGCGAGGGACAGGAACAGGCCGGACAGGGCTGGCGACGCGCACCACTGGTTTGGTGCGAGGTACAGGAACAGGCCGGACAGGGCTGGCGACGCGCATCACTGGCTTGGTGCGGGGAGCAGGAACGGGCCGGACCGGGCTGGCGACGCGCACCACTGGTTTGGTGCGAGGGACAGGAACAGGCCGGACCGGGCTGGCGACGCGCACCACAGGCTTGGTGCGAGGGACAGGAACAGGCCGGGCTGGACTGTGGAGACGGACTGGAGGTCTGGAACGGAGAGCTGACACAACCCGTCCTGGCTGAATGCCTATTTCCACACAATCTGTGTGAGGCATCAGCACAGGACGTACAGGGCTGTGCACTCGTACTGGCACTACAGCACGTGGCACTGGTGCAGGATATCTGGAACCGAGGAGGGGTACTGGAGGCCACGAGCGTTGAGCCGGCACACTCCGTCCTGGCTGCATGCCCACCTTAGCACGACACGTGCGTGGTGCTAGCACAGGACGTACAGGACTGTGCCGGAACACTCGCGGCACAGTACGTGGCTCCGCATAACACGGAACCTGCCCAGTCTCACGCTGCCTAGCCTGAGTACGGGGAGTTGGCTCTGCTCTACCTCCAGGCTCCGCCAACCACCCTTCCAGCCCCCCAAACCTGATGGCCTCCTCTCCTAATCCGCCGATTCGTCCTGTAGCTGCCTCCAGCAGCCCCGTCATCCACGCCGTGTGCCCCCCCAAAAAAATTACTTGGGGTTGCCTCTCGCGTGTCCGTCGTCGGCACGGTTGGCGCCGTTTCTCCTCTCCTGCCTGGGCATTTACTTTTGCCCATGGCCCTCTGCCCGCGAATATGTCCTCCCATGACCACCATTCCCCCACCTGGGACATCGCCAACTTCTTCTTCCCATAGCATGCTACACAGCAGCATGACTGATTCATCTTATTGTTTTTTGTTTTTATGTAGGCCCACGTAGTTTGAGTGTTTGGCTTGGCAGGGGAAGAGTAGATTGGAAGGGATAGTTCACTCAAATACTTGCTAGTCACTCTTATTTTCATTTTATTTTTGTTTAATGACTGACTCAGCAGCAGTCAATAACTGAAGTGTCATACCTAGTCCTTATATTTACATTTACATCATTTAGCAGACGCTCTTATCCAGAGCGACTTACAAATTGGTGCATTCAACTTATGATAGCCAGTGGGACAACCACTTTTCTTTTTTTATGGGGGTTGGGGGAAGAAGGATTCTTTATACTATTCCAGGTATTCCTTAAAGAGGTAGGGTTTCAAGTGTCTCCGGAAGGTGGTAAGTGACTCCGCTGTCCTGGCGTCGTGGGGGAGCTTGTTCCACCATTGGGGTGCCAGAGCAGCGAATATATGGTTGATTGAGGAAATGGGGCAGTTAAAGGGATAGTTCACCCAATATTACTTTTACTTCTACTTTACCTTTTCATTTTATTTTATTCTTCCCCACTTAATTAACCTAATGGATGACCCAGCTCTTGTCCACAATTGAGGTCACATGAACAGGCTCTCATTCTTCAAATCCTACTCTATTTCTTTACTCAGTTAGTTTATTGTGAAAGAGGGCAATGAAGGAGATTGTTCACCCAAAGTATATTATCTAGGCTATATTTGTCATGTGTTCAGACCCAGCAATAGTTATTAGCTAACCTCACACGCCCAGTATTTTCCTATACTACTGCTGCACCATCGAGAGCGTCCTGACCGGTTGCATCACGGCCTGGTATGGGAATTGCTCCTTTTGCATGTTTTAGTATGTTTATAATCGTATAAGTAGCCAAGCAACAGTGATTCACATGCTATGGGTTAGATGGAATGATTTATGTGCAATTGTATTTGGCCAGAGGCAAGTGCAAAGGGCGCCTGTCTCTGAGACAGAATGTTTCCATAATGGTGAGATAGGAGCCATGTATTAGAGCTAATAGATTGTAAACTACTGCCCTA